ATGGACTACATGAATAACATGGAAAAAGATGTTACACTGGATATACAAACATGCTGATATTTTAATAAAACTGTGTGACATGGATAATTTTCCTACACTAGATTTACAAAAGAGGTATGTTAAAGCTTTGAAGAATTTTGTGTGGAGAACAAGTACTGAAAAGAAATCAAGTTCTGAGTCATTGTTTGAAGGGAGTAGAGATCAAGAATGATAGGAGAAAAAGGAAGGAATATAAAATTAGTGTATTTGATCAAGGCTAAAATAGCTATCCTTCCTCTGGTAACCCTTAATGGACATCTGCTGATATCATAACTGAAATGACAAGGTTTGATGAATGTGTTTACAGATAAGAGATAGGATATAGATTTTATAAAAATGGGAAAGAAGATCATTTGTTGCATTTTAAAACGTGATGTTACTAAAATTGTTTATTCTTTCTGTGATAAAAAGGGGAAGTCACTTTTTAATTTTGTTTACTATATTCTTTCTTTTCTTTCTTATTTTTTATATTTTATCTATTCTGCACCTTCTATTTTTATTTTTTGTCTATTAGTTTTTATTGTTGTAAATTGTAATATTTAATAAAATTATTTAAAGTGATAATTCTATGAATTATAAAGAGAATTAAGAGTTTATAAGCATAGTAAGAAAAAAGTAGAAAGAACTGAGCACTAAAAGAAGTTCAAATGGATTAGTAGCAACTGTTAAATATCTGATAGGCAGGCAGATGGAAAAAAAGTATATTTCCAAGCACACCTAGTTTGCTATTCTGCTCACTTTTACTCAGATCACTTATTTATATAATATACAAATGTACACAATACAAAAGCTATCGAAGTAATAATTCTTAACAAAGAATATCCAAACAACTACAAAGTTTACAGAATGTAAGCTATATTATCTCACTTGAAACATTTTATACCATTTCTTCAACCTGATGAAGGTTGGGTTTCAGGGAGAGGAAAGGAAGACAAGCTTCATGGGCTTATGCTAATCAGAATAGAAGGAGCACCACATCTTTTTTTCTAATTTTTTTTTTTAAAATTCCCTTCCGTGAAAGGTAAAGGGGAAAAAAGTGTTCTTCCAGCTCTAGAGCCAGGTACTTTTGTCTTCCTATTCATGCAATTGTTTATCAAGTCAGACTATTAGTAAACCAAGTTCAATATTATGTATCCTGCCTAGCAGGTTTCTAAGATTTCAGCTCTTTTGCAGTTGTACTTGCCAACACTTTACAAAGAAGCTGTGATTTGTCTCCTAAAACTTTGGACTTCGGCTTAGGGATACTTAATCATGTAAAATTGAGCTATAAAACTGGGCTAATTAAAACTGGGCATTCAATTATGCTCTTGAAGTAATTTTTTTTTTAAAAAATACATTTTTTGTACAAAAGAAGCAGGCACATTTTCATTCTACTGCAGGCTTAATAGGAAACAAAATAGAAAATAAACGAAGCTCTAGTGCTATCTACTGTATCAGTCTAGAACTGCTCCAGAGAATTTCATTAATTGAACACCTAACACTCGCTTGAAGAAACATCAAATGATACGTTTGTGTGTCATTTAAAATGCATTTTGAGAAAATGATAGTTATTAATATACAGCTTCAGTAGCTGAGTGAAACTTATTATTCAGTACTGAGATAGCATTTTACTCCAAAATGAATTCAACTTTTATATGTTTCTTGGCCTCTTAGCAGTCTGTCCCCTCCTTTATTACTTTGCTCTCCTGACCGTACTGCCCTATTAGACCTTCCAGAATCCAATCTTCCATTACTAAATGTTTAGGGAAACTATTATCCTCAGGATGCATGACCCCTGGGCACTCTTTTAAAAAAACATTTTTAATTTTCCTTTGATTATATGGACAATATTCCAGTTTTAATATTGTGATCTCTCTCAGTTCAACAGTATACTTTATCCAATTTTTAATTAAATCCCAAGTATTATTTGAAGTTAAGTCTGAGGCTGTTTCTTTCCTAATCAAAGTTGTCACCGGTTTTGAACATAACAATTTATATCTAATTACATGTTCATAACGTAGACATGCTCTTATCCATGCAACAAAAAGAGTTCCAAGGAACAGCGCTCAGTATAAAGTTGTGTACTTCCATCCTAACGGTGTAACAACTAACAAAAGAGCCTTTGTCTTCGCGTTATAATGTAAAGCTAGTGTGCACAAATACATTATGATGAATAAACAGATTATTTCGTAATAATAGAAATAATAAACATGGATTAAACTTGTCCCGTAGACGGTATTAGGGGCGGCAAAACAAGACATGATCTCCGGCGTCCCCAGTCCAGGATACCAGAGAGACTCGATTTCATTTTATAGCCCAACTTAACCTATTTCTAACTCGTACTTTATAGGCGCCGCCTCAATCATCTTTATAGCTCATGGGCAGTTCTTCCAAAAGTCCTCTAATTTTTGCTTTTCAGCCAGCGGGGCCTCCATTTCTTTCCCACTCATCAATTCCTACTACACAGACTCCATTCCCAGATTGCCAATGGACCGGTCTATTCCTGCCTCAGTTCAAGTTGCAAGCCTCCGCCCTGCCAGACAGCCGGATCCCCGAACCTTAAATTCTTCTCCTTATACAACAACACCCCAACCCTTGGGATAGCTGGTCTGCATGGGAAGCCTCCGGACATTCCCACGTTACATCTCCCGATACATCCTGGTACGAATTGCTAAAACTTCGAATTGCCGGCGCCTCTTTCCTTTCTCCTTTCTCGCCCATCTTAAATCCTAACCCAGAAAGACCAAGTTGAACTCTTTGTTGTTGTTGTTGTTTCCCCACTGTTTGCTTCTCCCGGCCCATTTCCCTAACCTTTTTGAAGCCTCCCGCGCACTCTTCCCCGGTCTCCATTTCACACAGCATTCCCTTGATTAGATTCGGCGCTCAAAATCATCAGGACATCGCGTGGCATGTTGGGAAGTGTAGTTCCTGGAGTCCCACCCTCAACCGTTTACTTCCGGAGAAGACCGGAACCACCAGCGTCTTGCAAGAAAGAGGCATGCTGGGAAGCGTAGTTGATTTTTTTTCCCCTCTCCTCCCGCCCTTCAGTCTCTGTAAAGCGGCTGATCTGAAAAGAGGCGGGAGGCTTAAGTTAGAAGTTTCATTTTAGGAAAGAAAAGCGAGCTGAGCTGGGGTCGGTGCCCGAAAGTATCGAGTCAGGCTCTGAGGATGGAGGAAATGGGGAAAGAAGGGGGAGCGATCACAATATGAGAGTCTTAATTACAGTAAGTGGTCCAGGAAGGCCATCCGCGGCAGGGCGCCCAGGTGTCCTGCTTTGTGAACGCGTTTTCTCTGTTTCTCATGGACGCTTGCTTAGCCTTTTGCTCATCGGCCCTGGTTTTCGGAAAAGTTGTGAGAATGGACTTGTGGGTGGACGTTGTGTCGACCCTGTTGAATCATAGTCCTACACTTTAGTTCTTTGCTTGTGAAACTTCCGTCCGAGAAAATAGGTGGATTCACACGTGAACAAGCGACGATTTAGGACCGAGATCTATGCCTGTAGTGCCATAATATATTGAACACCTAGGACTTACTATTAGATATTGCAACTCAACTCCGTTGAATTCACTACTGTAATCTAAAAAAAAAAAAAGCTTTAAAAAGTGGCTTGGGGATCTGGATTCTTATTTTCTAAAGGCAATTCTAGGATTTGAGCACAGTAAACCTGTTTAGGATCTCTGTTTAAATCTAAAAATAATTTAGAAGTCTCTTTAAATGGTTACACACCAACAAGTTATCTTTAATACTTGATGTTTCCTTTATCTTTTTCGTCATTCGTACACTTGTTTGTTTAATTTTTCCACTTGTAAGTATTTAAAGAGAGATGAAAATGAGTTTAAGGTTTACTGTTGAAAGTTCACAAAAAAACTTTAGAAAGGATTAAAAATAAATAATTGCTGGGACGTTTTTGAATAAAATGTAGGAGGACTAGGGAGTTGTATGCATTAAATATTTTCAACCATTTTTAATTCACATTTTAAAAGATTACATTGTATTAATGTTATATCAAGTGAAACAAAGTATTTCTATACAAGATTCCACAGGCTTCAAAACTATAACTTTATTACATGATGATTTAAGGACGAGTTCAGTTTGGGGTGGGTGAGATACTCTTAAATTGTTTCAGTGCTTGGGCTGTGAGAGTAGATTCAGTTTTTGAGTGACGATCACATAAGTGTCAGTTCATTTACTTTGAACTAATTTAAAGTATATAGATTATTACTGTCTGGAATATAGAAACACAAAGTGCCTATTGTAATTATACATAGTATGCTACATTACCTTCTCATAGACCACAACACCATAATGGCAACCGGATGATTCTAAAACAAATATCTGGGGAGAGAGGCATCAACTTGGCGCCTTTGTGCAAAACTTTGGCTCCATCCTTACATTTTAAATTAAGTTAAAACATTAGCTTGTTGACACACAAAGAATAGACAAACTTGCCAGATGTCATATGTTTTGCAGAATGTGCAATCCAGATTTTAACAATAAAACCCACACACTGAGTTTCAAGGAATCCTGTACAAAAACCGCACATGCGCGCATACACACATACAGAGACACAGGGTTGCACACATGTTTATGTTAACGAGTGGTCTCTTAACTCCACAGAAGATACAACTTCAAAGAATGCAATTTTATCTCAAAACAGTTGTGCCATAAAACAAGCATTAAATGTATTATTTATTTCATTGGATCATTTTTATTTTTCTGGATCTTAGCATATGTTTTAACTGATATCTTTGCTATTGACCTTTTTATTGAAAAAATATACTCGCTATATAGTATGAATAACTCAGTGAATCTACTGTTTTTCGGTAGAGAGAAACAACGCCAAAGAAATAATTAAAATGCCTCTGAACTACAGTTCCCAGCATGCCCTATTTTCCAGGTAGTAAGATGTAGAAGACAAGATATTTAACTACAATTCCCAACATGCTGCAGTCTCCTTAGTTACAAAAATAGGCATTGGCAGTTGAAGGGCGAGGCTTTAGTTCTAGCAACCGTCAGCAAGCTTTTGAACCAAGTTTGACTGTCTCAAGGCTTCTAGTAACAGAGGTATAAGCTGAGGAAGCTGGTTTCAACATTTGGAGATCACTTAGATTAGGTTCAAATAAGATCACTAAGCAAAATATGCTCTGGCAATAATCTGCAGTTGTTGTTATCCACCAGGCTACCAGCTGCTGCCTTTTGATATTGCCATCAGTCTTAACCCCTTATCTATATGGGGGAATGAGTGAAGCTGATGCCTGCTACAGAGATGGATGCCTTTCGACAGTCTTATACCAGGTTGTGCAAAGAGAACGGTGCTGAGCCTCAAGAGAGTATCCTGCCACACTTGGAGGAAGCAACAGGACGAAACCGCTTGGATTTGGCCACGCAGAGCCTTTCTGTAGATAGTTGCGGAATCCTTGGCAAGCTTTTGCAGGATGACCTCCAGTTCACTGAGCTCATACTGAGTGATTGTATGCTGAGTGAAGAAGGTGGGACCTTCTTTGTCCACAAGGCAATTCTTTATTTCTCTCCTGTCCTGAAAACTTATTGGAGTTCATGGTACTTCCGTTGTGTTGCTTGCTGTTAACTTCACTTTGTAATAAACCACTCTTGTGTTAACAGTTGGCCTAGACAGGTCATCTCTAAAATGGAGATCAGTCATAAAATTGAGACAAGGACATATGGTGATACATACCTTCCCAAAAGACAGGAGGAGAAAGAAGTGTTAGAGTGTTCAAGAGTATATTCTCATGATCAGCCAAAGTAAATCTATACATTATTTAATAATATGACAGTGGTTTCACATGTCACATCAAGCATGAACTCACCCGCTCTGGTTTACTCAATAAATCATGGTTAAACAAAACAAGATTCAGTACAAAGTGTAAATGTCGATGTTTTTTAAAAAATTGGGAAACTTGCTAACTTTTTCAGATATGATTCTTTTTCCTTGTAGGGGCTAAGCTGCTATTACATGGACTTTGCTCCAATACAGTTGTGAAGTTCTTAAATCTGAAGGTGAGTGTGCTGTACCTTAATCTTAGGGTAGCAAAATGTTAAAGATGCTTTTGCTTTGGGGAATAATAGCAGGGTGAATTTAAAATAGTCAAAAGCTTTCTGAGGCAAATCATATAACTGGAGTCTATAGGGTATGTGCAAACTTACAAAACCTGTTGTTTTTAGAATAGCAGTTGAAGATAAGTAATTTTTGAATAATTAAATAAGAATATAAAATGCACAAATAGAATAAAGGTAAAGAAAGAAAGAACTTCTGGTAAATTGTTTTTCAGCTGTTCAGTTTTTAAGCATATTTATATTTCCCAATCCTTACTAGATAATTTGGTATTAGAGATTATAGTAGCATTATTAAATTTATTATTAATTGACTATATTGTCACACACATACTGGTAAGTATATGGATATATATATATAAGCATACATATTCGTGACTCAGATTTACATTAATTTTCACACTACAATTTCTTTCTTTCCAAATCAATACTGGGAAGCTATTAATAAAATTTCTATGCTACCTTTCTATTTATACAGAAAATGATGGTAGAATCATAAAGATAATGTGGAACCATTAAATGTAAAACATAGAAATGGACATGAATTCGTGAATTCTGTAGTGAGAAGTGCAAACAATGCAAATGAATATGAATTAACAAGTGTGAAGAGGAGACGGTCAAAGTTTTCAGAATTTTCAGAGTTCTGTGGATGAAGCCATGGTTCTGTTTAATGTCTGGATGTATCCATGTTTTGAGTAATGGAGAGACTAACTAGTTTGGTTTCTTTTAGGGAAACAACCTGCGAACTGTTGGGGCTGAAGCTCTGGGAAAGCTCCTCAGGCAAAACAAAACTATCCAGAGGTGAGCAATCATAGGAACGGGGTGGGTGGGGGTCTGTCAACTGTGCGCACCCAATTGATTCAGATTGTCAGAGGAGCCTTCCTGTATTTGCATTATGTCTGCTTGGGAGAGGACTCCGGAATCCCTTTTCAACTACAACCTACGTCTTCTATGCCTCTATTAATTGCCTCCTTCTTCCCAAGGCTCATTTTGGAGTGGAACAATCTAGGTGTATGGGAAGAAAGCTTCACTATCTTCTGTGAGGGGCTCGGGGCAAACCACCATCTCCAGATGTTGGATCTGCGCAACAATCAAATCAACCATCAGGGAGCAGGAGAACTGGCCATGGCACTAAAAGCCAACTCTAGTCTACAAGAACTTGGTAAGCCTGGCCTTTTTAAAAACAGAGGGTAATTCCCATCCCTCCCCCTTTGACAACCAAGACCATTTTACTGGGAAATAAAAACTGCTAATTGTTTTTTTTATGCTTGGTTTATTAAAAATTTTGATTATAATTGTCAAATCTGGTATAAAGTAAACTTAAAGAAAAAAATAGGAGTAAGAAGTATGTGGTATTTCTTCATTACATATCCCATCTCTTATCTAGAAACAAATCCATAAAACATCATGTTTTTAGTCCTGGTGTCAGTAGAAAGTCCTTAAAAGGGCTGCCAAAAGTAACTATGTGTCTTGTTACAACCTTGATCAAATAAACCAGCTTTATATTCCTTCCTTTTGCTTCTAACAGTTTAGTTCATTCAGAAATTGTCATAGGATTTAATTTCTCTTCATTTCTTTTTTTTGCCATTCTTCAAGGTTTTAACAAGCCACTTTTGTAAAACCAGTAAGAAAAAAATAGATCACTCTCTGGGTTTATCATTTATATTTCCCTTTTAAATTTTAAAATTTCATCCAATTTATTTTGGAAATCCAATGAAACACCCTTTTCTTAGTCATTCTCTTGGCCTGTCAGTTGTAAATCCAATTTCCTGTCTTGTCAGATAAAATTTGTTCTACATCTATCATTTATTCAATAACATCTTTTGGCCATCATTACTGACATGGTTGATATTGTGGCTATTGTTTTCTGATTCCATTCTTCAAAAGTCTCCATCATGGTTTTAAAAATTTGAAGTGTTTAAAAAAAAATCTTTAAAAGTTTACAGCATAGTAGCGAGTAAGATGGCTAATCTCATTGTCTTGTAACTGGACCAAACTGCTGTCCTTCAATCTCTTTACAAGGAGCAGCTGTCTAGAACACTTCTGGGCAATCTCCTATCCTATCCTAATCTGGAGATAATAAGGAACCAGTCTGCTCACTGGTTCCTTGGTTTTTACAACAAATATCTGTTCTGCTTTTGCAGAGCTATCATCAGTTCACCTCTGCTGAAAGTCTGGAAATAATTGCTGCTGATTTGAAAATTGCATGAATTATTTATAAGCTAGGTGGAGCTTTTTATGGAATTGGGCCTGATATTTATACAATTAATGAAGTATTTCAGCTTGCAGAGATATTGTACTGCAGCACATTGTTCGAAAGTAGATACTTTTCCACATAGTCTACAATGTCCAACAGTAGGCACAACTATAGAGGCCTGTTCTGTGCAATTTGATAGAGAACTATCAAAAATTAAGCCACACTGATTGACTTGCTGCTGCCTTCCTAAGCAGTGCTTAATAATATATTCCGCAGCATCCTTTGAGAAATACTGTTTATAGTTCATTCTGGTAAAAGTTGACTGGTTTCAATTACTGATGTACCTGTTTGGGAATGCAAGACCTGGCATGAATGTTTGCTTCCTGCTTAGATCTGCGCTGGAATAACATTGGGCTCTTGGGCGGCCGGGCACTTCTGAACTGTCTTCATAGCAACCGGACAGTGCGGCAGCTCGAATTAGCTGGGAACAATGTACCAAGTGATATCCTGAAGGCTGTGGGTAAGCAATTGCACCAGCTTTCTACTTGATAAAAAATTAATTAGATTCAATTCTGGCTACAGATTGTTCTACTGTGTGCCTCCTATCTTTACGGCTGGAGGGCTAAGGAATCACCATACAGTGTGAAAACCTGGACTTTTTCAGAATTTTCAGAGACATTTCTAAGTCTGGATTTAGAGATCTACTCTGGAAATGGGCAGGGAGTGGACAATAGTTGTCTAAAGTCATTGCTGTTACATCCCGCTTGAGGGGTTTAAAAATATTGTAATGATAAATTACATATCCTAACAATGGGTGGGTATTAGATGGGTATATACAGGCATATACTCTTCTGACCTTTGGGAGAGGTACTTTACAAAGGAAATCTATTGTTTTGACACTGTGGGTGGGCTCCAGACTGATAGCTAATTATTAATTATTTTTAGGGGGAAACATGCTGGTCTATGCAGAATTTTTGTCCAATCCAGTAGTAGTGATGATGCATTTTCTGCCGGATCACAAATAATAACATCTGAACACACCTGCAAACCTGTTGAATGAAGGAACAGTTAACTCTATTTCATGTTTCTTTATGGTTCAGATCAAGCAATGGAACATAACCAAGAGCGTCAGAATATTCTCTCCAAAAATCGTAACATGACAAAAATTCTCAGCAAAGAGGTGATGTGCTTGAAAGAAGAGAAAGCTAAACAGGTTGGTTGTAATCAAAAGTAATCAACAGTTGTGACAGGTGATGAAGCTTGAACTTATAGTTTTCTCAACTGTGAAAACTGTCTAAGTTACTTTAGGCCAGTTAGTGGCTGAAATCGCCCAAAGCCTTGGATTTGTTTTGCCATGATTTATTGAATAAGGAACCGTTGACTGGGATCACACAGCAGCAGCCCAAATCAATCAAACAACTTTTATAATTTAGTGCAGTATGTGAGCCCAGGCATTATCTTTCAATCTAGCCTTCTTTATCTTGTGAGATTAAAAGAGGATAAAAATGATTTAGAGTGCCCTGGTCTCCCTAAAAGAAAAAAAAAAGTAGTTTCTTCTCCACTAGAGCTTTGGAAACTTTCAGACTAAATTTATTCTTTACTCAATAAAGTGATCGGCATACTTATAAGTAGAGTAGGTTTGGCTAACAAATGCTTGCACTTCAAAAGGGTGCTGTTAAGGTAAAATCTGTTTTACAGTTCCTGGATCTAATGGACACCATTGACAAGCAGAGAGAGGAAATAAACCAGAGCAACAGGTAAGCACATTGAGAGAGATGTCGAGCTGAGTACTGTATTGTCTCAACTCTTTTCCTGGTGGATGTCTTCCATCAGCAATTTTGTTTAGCTGTTACGGAGGAGTGGAGAGAGAAGAAATCCTCAAGGCATTCCACAAAGTAGACTTCTTTGAGAAAGCCTCTCCTGTTACTCCTATCAAATGGTATTAATCCCTCAGGAAAGAGAAGACGACTGCAAATCAATGGCCCTTCTCTCCAATCCAGTAGTAGTAGTCCACAAGGACACCGTGTGATCAGTAAAATCAAAAACCGTTGAGAAGTTAGTGAAGACCAGTTTGAATTGATCCCAGTCTTTAATTCCTCAGCCTATTCTGAGAATTGAAGTCCACACATCTTCACGTTCCAAAGTTGAGAAAACACTAAGTTAGAGGTTTCAGCCAGGGGTGGGATTCAACCGGCGTTACTACCAGTTCGGTGATTACACCTCAGCAACCATCATGTCAGTGATTCTATCACACATTGCCATTTCTGGATGGGGCAGATGTGCCTTCTTCCCTCTGGTCCACAGGCACCACCTTCCAAGATGGTTCTGCTTTGGCAAGCAGGAAATTTGGGGTATTTTAAAGTAAGCTCGTCCAGTTTACTCCAGTTCTGAGCTGAGGAAAGAGCTCTCCAAAAGGCAGCTGGTGAGGAAGAGGCGTTTCTTTTCTGCCCCTCAATCATAGTGGGAGTTTTGCTGCACTGCACAACCCCTCTTCTACACTGCACAGTGAGACTCTCTGAAAGAATTTGAAAAATCACTAAACTTGACTTAAAAGTAGCAGGTGATAGAGGCAGGGTACAGTGAGAGAGGACCCTCCTGCATATCCCTGCATCCTCTCTTCTCCACATTACACATTTTTTTTAGGCCAGGAGTGTCCAATCTTGACTTGTAGACTTCAATTCCAGAATTCCCCAGCCAGCTGTGAGTTTTGACAAAGATTAAACCTACCAATAGCCATCTCCCTAATCTTAGATTCAAAAGAATTATTGGTGGATGTTTTTCACTCAGCTGGTGACATTTGGTAGGGGAAAGAAGCAAACCCATACATAGTAAATAAGAACGTCATGGTTTTGCAGCTACCTGACAGAGACCAGCCATTGATACACCATCCTGCTCGCAGTTTTTACCAGTATTGGCTCATATTTTGCCACAAGGGATCTTCTCTTGTCAGGATAAACTCTCAGTGCAAACTCTACACAAGGAATGTTCCCTTATGCATGGATATCTCCCTCTGCTCACTTTGCAGGGTATCGGCATCACGAGTCTGGCGTCTACAAGAGGCCTTGAATGAGCGCTATTCGGTGATGAATTCCCTAAAAGCAAAGTACGGAGAACAGCTTCGCAGTGTGGTTGGAGAAACCCGGCTAATGTTGTCGATGACAGTCCTAACTCAGATTTGATTCCGAATCAGGATGGTCCAATTAATGGAAAATTGTGGAACTAGAGGAGGGAACAGGAATGAAGTCAGGCAGAACAATGGACTGAGTAGCCCAATGGCAAAATTCAGTAATTGTATAAAGGAGAAGTAGAATTATTTACCCATAATCCTAAATACAAATATAAAATAACATACATATTGGGGAGGGGCAGGGGGAAATGGGGAATGTATTCTATTATTGTAAACATGGGTGACAGAATTTAAGAAGAGGATAGAAAATAGTCAGGCTCCTGTGGTTATGCATACTCAATACAGTTTTTCAAATGCCAAATTTGACTTGTAGTATACTTGTTGGAAAATGTGGCCAGCAACACACGAATTCATTCAATGCAGTGTAGAACAAATACTAACCTATGTATGTACCTACAGGTAGTGCTTGCACAGCATCTATTCATTTAGGAACCATTCAGATTTACAAGGTGCTGAACGAAGGGACTTATGATGTGTCCATCATTGCAGTGCCCTCACTGTCACGCGATTACAATCTGGGTTTTTGACAATGATTATACACTTACAACCCTCCCACGATCATGTGGTCGCCATTTGCTGTCTTCCCTGCCAAGAAGACTCCCTTCAGTTTCTGGGGGCTGGCTGCAAACACCTGGTGCTGCAAACACTCTGCCAAAACCCTGCTTAGATTGTGGGACAGATACAACATGGGGAATCCTGTCACAACTGGGGGCTTCCTGCAAATGTCCCATTGGTGCAGATGTTCTGTGCCCAAATCCTGCTTGGATTTGGGGTGGATCTTTTTCAGTTGGCCCCTGAGAGCAGAAAGGCTGACTGAGTCCCTTCTGCAGGCAGCTCTTTTCCTCCATCCACTTAACAACCCAGGAGATCACTTAATTGCCAGGATTGCAGTCATTGAGAGAATTGGTCACATGACATCTTGCTTAATGACTGCCTCAATCAGTGATCAAAGATTTCACTCTGGTACATGCATTAAAGAAAGCCTTCAAGGAGTGGAAATTCCGGATTTGTTTTGGTCAACCTGACACTCCAAATCCAGAGGTTGAGGTTTATGAGTAGATTTGGAAATGGATACAAATACAAGGATTGCTTAGCTCCTTTTCTATCTAGTTACTCTGAAGCAAGCTTTGCTTTGCAGTGCCAGTGCTCTTGTTGCTGGGCGGCTAGCTCAGAAAATCTCAAGGCAGCCGTGAAAATAGCTTTTACTTGAAACTTGATGCTTTGCAGACTCCAGATGACAGAGGCAGCTTTGGCTCTGTCAGAGCAGAAGGTGTGCAGTCTGGGAGAACTTCTGAGCACAGCCAAGGAGGAGCAAACAAAACTGCTGGAGAACCAGGCCAAGGAGTTTCATCAACACAAGAAGGTAGACTGGGGATGATCTGAGGAGTCAGGGAGTACATAAAATCCAGCAAGAAATCTGGTACTATTTGAAACAGATGTCTTTGCTTGAAAGAAGCCCAAGTGTTAGTGGGGAAAAGGGTGTGAAGCCAAGGTTTGGATCAAACAAGGAAGGACATTGGAAACAAGGAAGAAGGGCTGACTGATGCATCTCTGCTTTTGCAGAATTCTTCTGATCGTGAGGCAAAACTTCTTCAGGAACTTTCAACGGCCAACGAGAATAATTTCCAGCTCAAAAATGAGGTAAAAAATTGTTTGAATATCTCGGCGTTCCTTAACCTTGATAAACTTGTAGATGTGTGGACTTTGTCTCCAGAATTATCCAGCCACCAGGGGAGTTGAAGTCAACACATCTTCAAGTTCCCAAGGTTGAGACACATACTCCATTAAGAGTTATTTAACGTAGATCCTCTCAGCTTAGCTTCTGGTTCCTGGATGCAGTCTTCGACAATAGCAACTTTGGGCAATTGCTTCAGTGAGTTACAGGTTGTGGGTTAGGAGCCATAAATGTATAAACTCAGTCAATCCAACACAATGGAACAGTTTTCCCAAGCAGCTTGCTAATCAGGCTGACAGCACCTATTCAATAATCAGTTGCTAGGTGGGCCACCAGACAGAAGGCTGCCAGGGATTTCTTGTTGCTTGTGATCTATAGGTTGCCTGTTTGTGCTTGACACTCTTTCCCAGCAAACTGTAGTAGAGAGATGGGGTCTTGTCTTTCTCTACTAAGAGTGGATTTCCTTTTAAGGTGGATGAGCTGGAAAGAAGATGCAAAATCCAGCAAGAGCAACTGTTCCAGGTGAAGGAGGAGCTGACCCACACAACTGCAGAAATGAAACTGAGAGCTGTACAGGCTGAAGGTGAGCATAACTCAGAAGTCTTCAGCTACTGAATGAAAGAAGGGCTTGGTTGGAATCCTTCAGAAAGGGAAGAAAGATGAAAGGAATTGGGGATCTCACTAATTTGTTTTCCCATAGAGCGTTTGGAAAATGAGAAGAAGCGGTTCAAGCAAATCCTGAGTGATGCAGAATCCCTTCGTATGAAGGAGGTGAGGAAGCTGTGGGGATTTTAGCATCCCTCCACAGAGAGAAGAGGTGGCTGAAGTAGATCTGACTCAAACACTTTCTGACCTGAAAATAAATTCTACCCATTCCTTCAGCATCTTGTTTATAAGATAGGATGCTTGCCTACCAGAGTCTTGAGCTCTTCCATCCTGGCCCATATGAATAAAGGAAGGCCTTTGGGAGTGTTGTAAGACCTGGTTAGAATGCCAGGAAATTGTTTCTTCCCAACGGTTTCTCCATTACCGAACCTCCACTCCCCCCATCTCTGCAGAAGTAATTGCACACTTTCACTATTGCCTCTCATCTGCAATTCAAGAATCTGAAACTAGGGAAGTCTTAAATAACTCTTGTCTTTCTTTTTAGAATAGGATCGTCCTTCAAAATTCAGGGCTCTGTTTTTTCATTACGTATCTGAGGAGGATGGACAGTTGAGAAATTAAGATTGGGTGAGTGGGTGGATGATGGACAGGAGTGGGTTTCTACCAGTTCTGTCCACCTCTGTAGAATCGGTAGCTCTAAAGAGCAGCAGACATAGAACCGGTTCTATGTTTGCTGATGTTTTTGCCCACCTGGGCTCTTACCTGACCTTTATTTCCTGATTTTTCAACTTCAGCTGCCGTGCGAGGCACAGCTGCAGTTAAAAAAGCAGGAAAAGAGGGCTGTTTCAAAGGCTGCTTCTCTGCACCCAGCATGCTGATGATTTACAGGCAGCACATCATAAATCACCGAACCTCGTAAATGACCGAAGTGGTAGTTAACCCTGTCGGATCGCAATCCTGATGATGGATGGATGGATGGATAGATTAGATAGATAGATAGATAGATAGATAGATAGATAGATAGATAGATAGATAGATAGATAGATAGATAGATAGATATGGATGTATGTCCCATTCTGTGGGTTCATAATACAGTTTTATGTTTGGATTTTTTTGCTAAGGAGTTGGAAAACGTGCCCCAAGCTTTCTTGGAATAAATATGTTTGCTCCAATTTTCTTCGTGTTTCCTCCCATTTACCAAAGAGAAAGGCTGGTGTCAATCAGTTGTATTTATGTGCTGCTAAAGATCGTCTGAACAATGGTGTTTGACATGCAGGTGGGACAGATAACTCAGCATATGGAGACAAGTGAACATGCTCTGCAGGAGCGCATCCAAAGGCTGGAGGCCATCCGCATTGGGCTTGAGGAGGTGAGTGGAATGGCTTCCCAATATTGTTGGGTTTTTTTTCCTGAAAACCATAGACAAGTCTTGTCTTCAGTTGCTTTGGATCTTCTCTAAGAATATGTTCAGATTCAGACCACTGCAAGTTTCTTGATTTGCTTTTATGATCAAAAATTGCAGTGCATTGTTCTTTTGCCTTGTCACTAGGAACTGAGCCAAGTGAAAGCTGCAGCCTTCATTGAACGAGGCAAAATTGAGGAAGAAGTCATCAGAGCCAAAAACCAAACCAGGTTGGAAGAGGTAAGGTTGGCAGGACAGCTCAAAAGCAATATTGCTACATCATTTTATCTGTTAGGTAGCCTAGAACCTGTTTCCCATCAGACATTGTAATTCCCTTTTCATACCAGTAAAACATCAGAAACAAAGTAGAAATGGAGAAACAGGTCCAGCTGAGACTGGTATTTTCTTACAATTGACATGCTGTACAGTTAGAACAATGGATGAATGTCCATTTGGGGAGATTTTAAGATTAAGTTTTCAGGTTCATCAAGCTAAAGTTGTCACTCTTGCTTGACCCAGAACTGGTGACTCTGTTTATTCTATATCACACCAGGGTTATTATTAGGTAAAAGAGAATGAAGAGAATGAACTAGGTTTTAATTTTTCCTTATAAAAGCTGCAGGTGGCAAGGAACATCTTTAAACATCTTAAAAGGCAAGCATCCGTTCTTTTCTCATATCTTCAGTGTTTTTCAACCTTAGCACTTTTATAAGGCGTAGACTTAAATTGCCAGAATTCCCCAGTCAGCATTCCCCAGTTGAACTTCTTTGATCTAAAAGTTGCCAAGGTTGAGAAAAACTGGTCTAGATCAACCTGGAAATTTTGATTACATCTCAGTATAACTGGAGGTACCCAAGTTGAGGGGTGGTTGATGATGCTCTCTAATTCAAAGAGGCTTTTTTTTCTTTTGAGGGGTCCTTGGTACTCCTTGAGCTTGCTTATTTTCTTGCAGGTGTTTCATTACCCTAACTAGGTAACATCATCAGTGCTAGTAAGGAGTGCTGGTTGCTGTCAGATTATATTCTGGTGGCTTGCCCTGTCAGTCTTGGTGGGAGCTGTCTTAGAGATTTTTTGATTGGGCTGTTTAGTGATGGCTCTTTGGCATGTTTAGTGATGGCTCTTTGGTTTAGTGATGGCTCTTTCCCCTTGACTGGGGAATTGCTTACTTGATTGTTGGTCTGAAGTTAACCTTGGAGTTAATCTATGCAGGTCTGAGTGCTGATTACTGTGGAGAGGGGGTGGAGTCTTTTTGTTCTCTTTTTGGCTGGCTGATTATCCCTTTTGCCTAGTCTGTAGATGCTGTTAATGTCTATGTGTCTCTTGATGGTTGATTTGTCAGAGGACCAGGCTTCTAGAAATTCCCTGGCATTTTTTTTTTAATTTAGCCTGATCTAGGATTGTCACATTTTCCCAATTGAAACTATGGTTAAATCTGTCTATATGTTGTGAAATTAAATAATTTTCATCATGTCTGCTGACTGTGTTCATGGGTGCTTTCTGCCAGTCTTCTGCCTGTTTGTCCTGCATTGTGGTTGTTGCAGTTCTTACACTCTTAAGTTGTAGACGACTCCTGTGTTTTCTACTGGGATTGGTTTGCTTAGGATGTTTTGAAGGGTTTTTTTTTTTAAAAAAAACAGGCAAATAGTTAACAGATTAAAATTTATAATGGAAATAAAATAGAATCATATTAATAGTATGCGTCCAATTCTTACATATCAGTAATAGATTGAAAAATGATGGTTGGTTTCTCTTATTTATTTATTTTTTTGTTGGCAATTAAATAGCAACAGCGCCTGGAGCAGATGGAGGAGAAGCTGAGGCTGATGATGCAATCCCGTGACGAGGCTCAGAACCACTGCTTGCAGCAGAAGCGGGCAGTGGCAGAAGCACACGCTAAGGAGGGCCAGTTGAGTCTGCAGGTGGAAGGACTCAAGAGGCGACTGGAAGACCTTCAGCAGGTGAGGGAGTTGAAAAAGTCCCACAGGAAGAAGCCTGAGATCAGCATTCCACTGTAGGCTACAATTTCTTGGGTACATACCTGGGAGTCCTCGATGACCGGTCACCTAGCCGTTGTTTGAACTTCCAACTGACTTACCTGGAGCGCATAGAATGTAGAACAACAGAGTTAAAAGGGACCTTGGAGGTCTTCAGGTCCAACCCCCTGTACAGGCAGGAAACCCTATACCTGTGACGGTGAACCTATGGCACACGTGCCCAAAGTGGCATGTGAAGCCATGTTGCCCGATATGTACAGCTTTGCCTGTCTTGTGGGTTTCTGGCGCAGATGTGCACGCAACGATTAGCTGTCCCAATACTAAAAACCCAGATTCAATGTTCCAATGGCCAAGTCTCTCCCTCCACACCCCTGATTGCATTTTGGGCCCATGTGGCAACCAGACTGCATTTAGCCAAGATCTCACCTGGAAAAATAACACAAAAATAACACAGGTGGTCGGGAAGGCTCACCAGAGACTCCATTTCCTTAGGGTCTTGCGGAAATATCAGGTGGAGCAGCGACTGATGACTTCCTTTTACCAGTCTATGATAGAAAGCATCCTTGCATACTGTACTATGGTATGGTATGCTGGCTTGATGGCTGCGGACAAAAAGGCATTACAGAGGGTGATGAGCACAGCACAGAAAATTATGGGCTGTCCCCTGATGAAAATTATGGGCTGTCCCCCCTTTCACCACTGGATGAAATTGCCAGAACCCGCTGCCTCAGCAGAGTGAGGGAAATCCTCAGGGATGATTCAAACCCTGGTCAGCACTTCTTTACTCTCCTACCATCGGGCAGGAGATATAGAAGCACAGCCAGCCGAACGAATAGGCTGAAAAATAGCTTTTATCCGTGGGCTGTCCGCCTTCTGAACACAACACCACAACTAGGTTTAATACGATAGACTTGCAGGGCCAGCACCAAGGAGGCTCATTTCAATTTCATTGTACACATGTTGTGCATTGACAGTAAACGTTTGATTGATTGATTTGCAGCATCCCACAATCATGTGACCATTTTATCCCACAATCATGTGACTATTTTATAATAGTTTTGCCGAAAACTAGAGATTTCCTCCGGGTTTGGGCAAAACTGCCCATAGCACATGATTGGTTTACTTAAAAACTGCAGTGATTCGCTTAACAGCTGCTGGAAAAAAAAGGTTGTATGGTCAGTTATGTGACTGACCCATATTATGACCATCATGAGTTATGACCATGATGGGCAGACTCCATTATGATGGTAACTCGAGGACTATCTGCAGGTTCTTCTGAATAGACACAGGGCATGTTTTTTTTAAAAAAATCAGTGTTCAGATCCTCCTAGTTTATGGATTCCATACTGCTAAACAAGGGATGGTAGACTGTTTTATAAAACATGTGGAACAAGTAAATTGTCTGATTAACAAATATCATCTTTTGAGTAGTTTCTTCTGCCTCCAGGAAAGTTATCCTGTGTAATACCTGGTCGATGCAGGTTGAAAACAATAGTTTATGGATTCAGTGTACTGTGAAGTCACTCAGTTGTGACTGATGACAGCACAAACCACAGTGGAAACAAATCTTTCTCAGTATAATATATGACCTTAAAGGAGATCACCTTTCCTGTTTCATACTCAAATAATCGCAATATCTCTAGCCATTTCAACAGAACTTCGTCACAAAAATTAAAGAATTCCCTTAAATTGAGCCTGACTCCTGGTGGGGGACTTGACCCATCCACATAGTTTTCTTGGCCATAGTGCAGAGTGGCTTCCCATTGCTGCCTTGAGGGGTAGGGAGTGGTATTCCTAGTCTACTCTACAAATTAGGGATTTCCTGACAGTATCCCATCCAAGTGACAAGCAAGATCAGGACCGCCTTTGTTTTTCACAACGACCCCAAACTGCTTAGGTGCTCTACCCGGTTAGGCAGCTTCCCATCATATCCAACTTTATTTGGAAACATACGTAGCCCAAGACCGGTCAAGGCAGTGTGAGAAACAGGACAGGTGCAGGGTTGTTGGGCTGATGGTGAAGGCGTGCTCCATGTAGCCATTATGGTGACCTTGTCTGTAGTACCAACATTTGAAGCACAAACCGCTGATTATTTTGTGTGTGTTCCCACCCACCCCCGCCCCCCCGTGTGCTATGGATGGCAGGAGCTGGGCAGTAAGGAACAAGAGAAAGTTTCCGAGGTCAATAAAGTGCGTGTGGAGCTGCAGGAGCAGATTGGTCACCTGGAGGCTGAGAGAACAGCACAAGAAGGGCTGCGGGAGAAAATTGCGGCTCTTGAGCGCCAGCTGAAAGGTAACTAAAAAAGCCCTTCTTCTTCCACCAAAGTACCTGCTGGCCTTTATATGATGTGCCATAATATTGCACCGGTTACCAATACCTTACTGAACTGAAGCGTAAGTGAGGCCCCCAGATCTGGAGCTAACATAGGGGAGAGCAGGGACACAGGAGGCAGGTGGTGAGTCTCTTGGTTTTTTTCAGCATTGTGAGCTACCTCTGACCTTGTTTCCAATGGGAGATTTGATCTATTTCTCACTGCCACCGTGTCTGCTTTTGGGCATTTCTGTCAGCTTCTTAATATACTTTCCACATTCCTGTATCTTTTGATGTTCCTTTTGAGTAGGGAATAGTCAAGCAACTCATTTCCCGAAAGGCAGGGTTGAAACTTCCATCTTCCCATTTATCATCCCAATCTGACTAGAGGAAGGAAGCTGAATGTGGTAATAATGATTACTGCTGATATTAGTTAGTTTGGGTAATGAAATATTTGCAAGAAAACAACCAAGCTCAGAGAGAGAGAACCTCAGTAATAATAAGCATCTGCCACACAACACCCCAGACCTAACAATTGTTGATAAGAAAGACAAAATGTCCAGATTATGGACACTGAATTCCTGGAAATAGGAGAAGAGAAAGAATTGAAAAAGAAAGAAAGAGAAAATAACAACGTACAAAAACACGCAAATATAGTGGCTGTGATAAAAGAAAGCAGAAATAAGACCAATGGTAAAAGGCCCCTTGGGTGCAATCCCCAAACATCCAGAACACCACTTGAACACCGTGGGTATTGACAAAATCATCGGTCAATTACAAATGGCACCTTTACTTGAAACAGCTTTCACCCTGTGACAGTAACCATTAATATTATTAAACAACATCTGCTTATTCCAGATTCTTGAGAAGGTTTTGATAGGTGAACAAAAATGCCAAATCCAGTCTAAACACCTGGCTGACTGTGTGGCCAACCATCGTAATTCCTTCAGGCCATCTTCACTTACATGATTAAGGCTGCAAGTCTAGATAAAAGTGATGGGGCTTTTCGGCTTGTCTGGTCCACTGATACCTGATGTCTCACTTTTTCCATCTCCTTGCCCGTAGCATCCCATCCTCTTTCCTTGCCGGAAGCCAGTTCAATTCTCTGGCTGGAGATGGTTCCCTGTTTGCTTACTTACTGCAGAAATAATGTACTGATGTAGGCTTTCACAGCTGGTATCTGCTGGGCCACTTCAGGAGTCAGTGGCTGTGGTCTAAACAACAGATTTCCTGACATTTTGCCAGCAACTCTGGCTGGCATCTTCATTGGCATGGTGGTCAGATCATAGGCAATTGAGCAAGGACTGACTGGGCTGTGGTCTTTATAGCCACATCTCTAGACCACTTTGACTCTAGAGATAGCACCCATTATTGCTGGTGAAGCCCAGTCATTAAACCTTGAATCCCAACACTGCTCAATAATGCTAAAGATCTTTTCTGTTGCCAAGCTAATGGTATCTTAGGAAGAAATTGGCCAGAGTTAATGTATCCCGGTTCGATTACTCTTTCATTCTAAATTTAGACAATGACATCATCTCCATGTTTCAATCATCTTAAGAAATTATGAAACATCATGTAGGTCTCTTGAGGCCATGTAAATTATATTTTGCCTTTAAAGGATTTCAATATCCTGAGTCAAAAAAGGCTAAATGCGTTCATGTTTCATTTTTTTCCCCTTTTTCTAGTGCTGTCCAGTAACCACCGGGAGGCACTATTGGACAAAGAGAGTGAAATCTCCAGCCTGCTTGAGAAATTACGGGTTCGGGAAGCAGAAATCTCCAGGATCAGGGAGGAGGAAGCTCAGCGGGCCAGTTTCCTTCAAAATGCCATCCTGACCTACGTGCAAGGTTCCCCACTTGGCTCTCTCAGCCCCAAGAAGTGACACTGAGTTCTGCAGTCGACAGGTCCTATCTTCAAAGAGGAATCAGAGGATCATGGTGGCCAGCTCTTGTGTTTCTTGAAGACCCAAGAATCTGCATGGCCAGTTACCTGGAACTCAGTGTGAAATGTCACTGAAGGACTTGTGGCTGCTTTGGAAACCATCTTAATTTCTGTGCCAAAATCTTGTTCAACCATGGCAGCAAGAATAGTCTTCAAGATAAAAGCCATCTATTCCCATTTTGTAGCCCACAGACAATGTATGCTCACACAAGTTTTCCTTCCCTGATTTGGGCCTCAGATTTAGGTCCAAAATGCACATCATTTCAGTGATAGGATTGTTGCTGGAAAAAAATAATGCTTTGATGTGACCAACTCTTTTAAATAGATCAATCAACAAATAGTAAAAGGAACATTTAAGTCAGCCAAATCATGGAGATTTTTCCTATATTCATTTACTCTGCAAGATCTACAGCATTCCAGATAATCTCAAAAGGACTAATGTTGGGTCTAGAGTCATTTGGGGCTGTCCTGACCCAGTAGAACACTGAATGTATTTTCCATGCTTGAGAGTATCACTCTTTTGCCTAGTCTTCTAAGGAGCTCTTTTATAGTAACACTTAGCCATTAGTACCTGATTCCTCTGGACCTAAAGGTGAAACCAATGGAGGGTCCAATTAGGGGTAGAGTTTGATTTATCCACACAGCTTTTTCAGTTTCAGTAAGGAGAAGAGCCAGATTCTCTCACTGATGACAACATTTGAAATGTGAGCCAGAGGCTAGAATAACTTCCAAATAATCCGGATTTAGCTGTAGTTGTCTTGAGAACAAGATGACACACATGGAACAAAGAATGATTTTTGGTTTTTATTTTTAGTTTTATAACTAGTATGAAAATGAAAAATTTAAATTTTGCCATTGTTGCAGGGACTGGCTTGCATTTATTTCCATATATATTATAAATATATAAATAGACATATTTATATGCAATTAAACATGTAAGAATATATATATATTCTTACACACTTCATTGCATATAAACATGTTTTTGCTTTGATGGTACATTAAAATGAGTGCATAAGTTTTAAAGTGGCAAATACAGTTCAGTATAAGGACTTTTCAAATCATATATATCAGAGCAAAACCTCTACATTTCACACATATTAATGGGACTGCAGCTAGCAGTAATTGATCAAGAAACAAAATCTTGTTATGGGAAGCTTAAATAAAGTGGTGATTTAATGTGCAACAAAAAAGAATTCTGTAGTAGAAATTATTTACAAAGGATTGAGATTAAAACTGCCAATGTAATTTAGAGTGCCCGAACTACTATGTAAGTTCTGCTTAGTTCTGGTAAGATAGATTTGGAAAACATGCAAGCAAGTTAATGTATTGGGCTACTGTAAAAGGTGTAGCTTTTTGGTTTACTTAAATTGTATTTCTTTTTTTATTTTAGCACAGGAAGGTAAAGAGAAATAGAACAAAAAACTTTCCAACTTTCAGATCTTTCCAGCACAACGATCAGGTTATCAGTAATTGGGAGGGACCAGGGGTCGTGGCTATAGTGCCATACCAAAACTAGCGGGCTGTCATAGTGAAAGAAAAGTTACTTTTGACACAAACATCCTATGATATGTGTCATTAGTTCTTGAGTATGAGTTAATGATTATGCATTCAAAAAATATGAGGAACCCCATCCTATTCCAAGTAGCTGCCCTTTTTCCATCTTTCATACAGAAAACCACCATGGTGGAATGAGATGGGGTCTTTCAAAGGCACAGCACCAGGGAAGTTTTCTCATTGGAATATAGGGATTCTGGCTCAGGATTGTCCTTCCCTTTTTAAAGCTTCATCCACCTGTTTTTGCAGGAACGTTTAGTGCTCTTTATTCATGCCTTTCTGAAATAATCAGTGCTCTGCAACCCGCCAATGCCTTGGTAGTAATACCATTTGACAGAGTATAAAAGAAATATTGCTTGTCATTAGGTTTGCTTTATGAATGTGAGGCTAAAAGGGAAGAGCAGTAAATCAGTCTTAACACTATCGTACATTTCTACTTTGGCAACAAAGTCTGATCTGCTTTCAGTGGTTTATTGACTTTGTGGCAGGAAACTTGACTTTTCAGCTATGGCACTAGTGATCAAATGTTTGAAACTCTAGAAAGAAGGCCTTTTGGATTTAATGGGACCGATTCCCTGAAAGGGTGTACCTTGAGCAATTTTGTGGACCCTGGAGCCTTGTCCCAAGATCCTGGATGGCTGATATTTGATTTCAAAAGTTTGGGTAAAAGCAATACCTTTTTCCATGATTTCTAGACAGAAGAATGATTAAAGAACCAAATGGCTCCCCCTCCCATTTTTTTAGTTTGTGATTAGAAATGGCTAAATTGTGTTGCTGCTATATTTGCTCCTTACTGTTTTTGTTTTTTATTATAGCCCATGGCTGCTATATAAAGTGGCAGTTATTGAGAACTGTAGCTATTTGAAAACTGCACTAAAGCAAATCATTTGCACTATGAGGAAATTCTACAGTGTATGACAGAAAGTAAAGAAAAGCCATTAAACCAAAGGCAAGTTTAAGACTTGTGGACTTCAACTCCCAGAATTCCTGAGCTAACATGATTGGAGGGGGAATTCTGGGAGTTGAAGTCCACAAGTCTTAAAGCTGTCAAGTTTGAAGAGCCCTGAATTAAACATTAAAAAGAAACAAAACACTTTCCTAAACAATACTTTAGCAGGAAATTCAAAAACAAAACACAAAAAGGACTTTTAGAAGAGAGAATCTGTAACTAAGGTAATCTTTCTTGTATGACTAGAAAATTATTTTCATTTTACAGGAATGAAATTAAACTCGAGATTGAACTCCTTTTCAGTAGGGACAAGAAGCATAAAGTATCAAGAGTGAAACATGGACAGCTATGTGCCTCTTTGTTTCAACTTGTCATTAGAGTAAGGGGGTTAGGGTTAGCAGCCTTTAATCCATTAAAACCTAACAGTTGCTAGAAAGGAATTTGCTCTAGTTACATTTTATGTAGTTATTTTGTTATCTGTGTGATCTGTATGAATGTTATCTACACAAGTCAGCAACACTGTAAGCTTGTACGAAAAAAGGAATTATACATTGTCAATAAGTTTATAGACTGCTGCATTAATTAGAAAACATGTGCCACACATTTGATTCACACAATGCATCCAAATCGTAAATCCATGTGCCTCAAAGAAGTTAAGCCTAGTATGATGTGGATTTATATGATCTGAAGAGAAACTAGAGTATACATTAAATCTGACTAAGAAATTTTGTTTGAGGAGGAGCATCTTAATCATAAATTACCATCACTATTTACTTTCAGTTTACTCATTTAAATTACAATCTGTAGTGTTATCTAAACTTAGTTGGGAGTATTTTGAGAGAAAGTTTGCTTTTGCTTTTTACTAGTTGAATAAAATAATGAAAAATAAAAATAAACAGTTCTAAGAAAAAAACAAAAAGAAACATTTGTATAGCCATATTTAATTGTAACCATCCATAGTTTATGCCAAGAGATTCATTTATAAATTGTTAATTATAAAGTTGAGTTGATATGTAATAATTTCCAAATATAACTATTACAGAACACTATATAGAAACATATTTAAATTAAGCATTAATTCAAAGCACTTTCTATATAAATGGAATCTAGTCTGATAAATCTGAAATAGTTTGTTGAGTAAGTCATAATTTAAGATTCATCATCACATTTTTCCTGCAAGTGCTTTTGGGTCAATAAGCTTGTGTGATCAAGCACAGTATCTGTGTCCACCTGGGCATTTTTCATGTCCACATTTATTGTGTCTTGCCATCTTTGCTTTGGCCTTCCACATGGGCACTTGCCATCTATATTAAAATGAAAGGTGATGTAGATATCTGGAGTGCTGCTTCGTAGAACAGGACCATACCACATAATTTAAGATTGACTGAAGTTTTTTGCTATCAAATGCCCTTTCCTAGACTTGAATATAAATATCTGTTTGTTCTATTTATAATTAATTTGATAGAGATTTCCAGTAAGAAAAAAATCATCCAAAATTTGTCCTACCAATAGTTTTATAGTGTTTTGCAGGACAGCCATCAAATTTTGTTGCTTTAAAATGATTAAAGCTGTAAAATCATATCTTTAGTTTTATAAGTAGTCAAAGTAGCTACACTTCTTGGTGTAAAAAATCTAATTGTGGAAAATGAATGAATGAAAACAAAAGCCAACATATCTTTAAGAGTTCTGTTGTCAGGGCTGAAAGTTATCTTCAAATAAACTACATAATTTCCCTTCATCTTTAATATCCATAATAATTTGCTCATTTTTTTCTTCCTCAAAGTATTTGCCAAGATCTAACCAGCTCTTTCACCATTTCCCCAAAACATTTGATATAAATATGTAAACTCAGTTTTTCATAGTTGTCCTTACATTTGAGCCAAATAATACCTCAAAGACATATCTTGATGAACTGAGTTTCCTAAATTTGCTGCATTTTTCTGTTTAAATTATTGGTAGGAACTCTAGGCATCTAGACCCAAAGGGTTTTTAATATATTTTTCATAGTGGTCTCATGAATTTTTTTCTTATATGATATACATATAATAATGCTACCACAAATATATGCTTCTTATTAAAAAAAACAAGGAATGAGCTGAATCTGCATTTCATTTAAAGTATTGTAATGTCTCAGAATTAATCTCCGTTATAAATTCAGCTTCATTGAATAAAGAAAAATCCAGACAGTTTATTGTTAGTTGAAATTAGTTTAAATTGAACTATTGTTATGAGCCATCCAGAGCTGGTTAAAAGATGTGTGGCTATATAAGTATTTAGCATAAATACTCCTACAATGTTTGATCTATTGATTGAGGAGAATGAATCTAAAATAGTTTTCTGAATAAAAAATAGATTCTTTGAGATCTCTTATTTGAGACATAGCAATATCTAAAAAACAATCTAATTTTAGTCCTCCATGTAGATCTTGAATTGTAATTTTGATTGCTGAAGGATTAGATTTTTTTAGATCTAGCATCTCATTAAAAGTCTCCTCCATAATAATATACTCATATGGTATATTTACTGAATTATGAAAATGTTCATGAAATATAGGGTTAATCTGTAACACCATTTTCGGCCACCAAATATAAAGACAGGTGGCAGGAACAACTGCCAAACCGAGTCACTCCAGCTGTTGCATTTTTGCTGCTGCTGCCTCTAATGAACTTCCTGACCCCACATATATGCAAGAGCTGAAACTTAAAATGTGTAAGGGACAGACTTTATTTTAGACATTAATGTCTGGAGTAGCTGTGACTCTGGCTTAGACACTTGGATGTTTAATTAAAACAAAAGTTCTTTCATTCCCCCCCCCAACCAACCAAATATATGTATTTATATAGAACATTGTACAACAGCAAGCATATACAAACGCAAAACAAATGTGAACTGAGTACCGTAATTGCTAGCCAACCATGAGTGTTAAGTACTTTTTCATGTTCAGTGCTAAAGCTGGTTGAAAGTATCCTGCAGAGATATTCATATTGTGGTAAAATGCAATGTATTGTTTGATTTTGCATGCTGGATAAATCCAGCTGCTGTGCTTTGTAATTTTAAACCATTGTTTTAGTGTGTGAATCCTACCGGTGTATGAAACTGACACACTGGCAAGTGATGGAATGCCATGAGCTCTAAAATGATGGCGCTTGTGGGATTGAATGTAGTTTTAATCACCAAACCATGACTTTGATAGGCAGTTTTGAAGCTATGAACATCAAATCAACCTCTCCCCAACCCAAGTTATACTCTGCTTAGAGCAAAAGCAGTTTCAAACTTGAAACCAGACAGCTCGACTTCTGCTCTAGGTTTCTCCTCTTAGTTCTTAAGACTGGCAGAGATTATATCTGAAGGAGCAGAAGATGAATGTAAGCAATAACAAATTAGTCTTAAGTTTTAGATGTCTTATTAGGAGAACTGAAAAGTTCATATTCCAGGCTTGACAATTTTGTTTTGGACTATCTGTGTCTTGAAGTGAAGTTACCAAAATCAATAAGAGGGGCATCTATGTTGATAATGCTTTGCACCGAGTAATGTTGGATAAAAAAGAGTTGGCTTCCAGGCCACATAACATTACGGATAGCTTTGTTTGCCAACTGCTCATCTGAGATTCCCTTATTTTGAATGTT